TCTTGAGAAATCGAAGGGAGTATCAATATAGAAAGATGGAAGCAAAATTTGGGGCAAAAGAAAGAGGGGTAAAATTGAAGTTATATATTTATCCTATCATTGATCAATTAAGCTGAAACAGCATCATCTAGAGGACACCCATCATGCGTACATTGGCGCATAACACTCCTGGCAGTTCTAGGCATTACATATATAGAAACTGATAATATTACATGTCTCATCCACTCACACAAATTCACAAAACCATCATCTACAACAACATTCCATGTTACATCATACTCTATCGAACACCAAACACCATGAGAGGTTTATTGCTATGAAGTACACTGTTGCATAAAAGAGCGTATCAAAGCTCAAGGGCTACTGGTGGAGTGAGGTGGAGAAAAGAAGGGGATGGGAAGGTCCTTGGGCAGGCTCGGGATGGTAGGCAATGTGGGCTGAGGCAGGTCAGGGATATGTGGCAGGGGAGGCAGTTCAGGCATTTTAGGGACTTCTGGTTCTGGCATAGTTGGCAAGCCAGGTTTTGGCAAGGTTGGGATCTCGGGTAACGGTGGCAGCTCGGGCTTGGGCAACGTAGGCAATTCAGGCTTCGGAATCTCGGGATTGGATAATGTTGTTTCTTGCAGATTCCGTGCCTCTGCTGAGAACGTACGGCCACTCAATGATAACAAAGCATTAACCAACAACGTTAGTAGAAGAAAGGATGGGAACTGGTTATAAGCCATGATTTGAGTTTGGGACTTGGTATCGGGAGGAGCTTGGACTGCGTACTTGGATGCAAGAAGAAGCTATGTTTGTGGGTATTTATATGCAAGGGACGTGGTGAATTGGCAGATGATGCAAGGTCGATTGGTGGAAGGCGTCTCATTGTTAGCTCAACCATGTTTGTGGGTATTTATATACAAGCGACGTGGTGAATTGGCAGATGATGCAAGGTCGATTGGTGGAAAGCGTCTCATTGTCAGTTCAACTTCCCATCTGCATCGTGGTTTAGATAAGTTAAATAACAAAAGAATTGTATACTGGTTTATTAACGTCTGAGTTCATTTTTTTTTAAATACTGGTTTAGTTTTATACCGCATGACTTAATGATGGAGTTGACTCCTTTTCTGGTTTTTGTCCTTGGCCGTCACTGGATGGCAACTCGGCATGCCCAAGGCATGGAAGCTCAGTTTCAGTTGATATTATACACATGTTAAAAAATTCTACCACAGTAGAATTTTAATTTTTAAATTTCTAAATTTAACAGCGAGAAAATGGGGAAAATTAACAGCCATTCAAAATTTTCAAATAGTTTTTTCTCCAATCAACAATTATATGCTAATTTGCAATTTGGACCATAAACCCAAGACTTTATTAGCCCATTAAGTCCATAATCAACACAATTAAGATCCAAATTGATAAGTCCAAAAAGCTTTGAACTGAAAACTAGAGTAACCAATAATGACTTAATCTAAATTATTTTTAAAATTTTACATAAATTACTCCAGACAAAATAGAGGGTCTACAATTTTTCTTTTTTACACATTTGTAATAAGCAACTTTGAACTTATTGTCTCCCTCTCAAATTCTCTCCTACTTAGCATGCTATCCTCTTATTCTTCACCTTGTTTCATCCTGTTTCTATTCTCCATATTTTGGTAGCGTTTGATGCTTTACAATACAATGTGATTACATATAATGTGATTGCAGATATTGTGATTGCAACCAATGTTATTACAGGAAAAATAACATTACAGTATTTGGTATATAAACAAAATAATAATTAAAATGTAGAGAAGATAACATTGCAACATTTGATTTACAAGTACTTTGCTGGGAATATAATATTAATTTTTAAAATTACCCATAATTATTAAAATATAAATTTAATATATTTATATTTTTTATTATTAATTTTTATATAACATCATCTTTTAAATATATTTTGAATGTCATATATTTTATTTTCATGTATTATTATAATCTAATATATTTTATTTTTATTTTTTTAATATAATTTTTTATATTATATATTTTATTTTATTTTACTTATATTATATAAATTTTAATTTTTATATTTATTTTATTTTAATTTTTGATTCTTATATTATATATTTTATTTTAATATTTTTATTTTAATTATAATATTATAAAATATTTTTAATAAAGTAATAAAGTTGAAGGGTAAAAATATTTTTAAAAACATCACCAATGTAATATAATTGCATTGGTTTTGGACTGCAATCACATTACATCAATGTGATTGTATTGCAATCTTACATTGTAATGGTCTATTGCAAAATAAATATTACAATGTAATTTAATTAGACACATTACAAAAAATGTACTCTCACTTTCTTAATATCAAACACTATCTTTATTCTATCAACGCCAGCCACAATAATCAATGCTTCAGCATACTACAATCTGCTTCGTCTCCTTATATGTACATTCTTGTTATTTGGTTGCAAAACTACCTCTCTTCCTATCACAAAAGAACCGCTCTACATAACCCAACCACGAATTCGCTTCATCAACTTCAAAATGCCATCAAGTAAGTCTCATCGTCGTTGTCCTTCGCTTTATGGAGTGGCAGATCCTCCTCTTCAAGGTCGGTGACGAGGTGGACGGCTCTGGCTCCACCTCCACCTCCACCATGGTCCGTCTGGACTGCTGAGAATAATGCTTTTGGTTCTAGGTTCTCTTCTTGTTGGTAAGACGAAGAGCAAGAGTGCGAAAGAATTGGTGCTGGATTTTTTTTTTTTGCCAGACATGAATTTATTTAATCACTTTTAGTTTATTTTTTAAAATATAAATTTTCTTTTTCTTTTTGTCTTCTATTTTTAATGCAAATTACTTTTGGCAATTGCTATGTAAGACAAAAATAACCATGTGGCATGCAATGCTTCTGACACATATGTATTGTTATTTTTATGTTAATTTTTCATTATCGAATCCATCTGTGCATTGACTTTAAGATTAACAATGTAACAAATTTTAAATGTTTAAGACTGAAAATTAAAAACACAGGATCATTTAAGATTAAAAGTATAATTATGTTGTTATACAAATAAACCGAAACAAATGATAATTCCCAACAATACAAATTAGAAAATGAAGAAATAAAATAGTACTAAATAAATGGCTTCCACTATGGAATGTGGGTATTG